TCTATATATATATATATATATATATATATATATATATATATATATATATATATATATATATATTGTGTGTGTGTGTGTATATGTCTCATCACATTGTGGTTGGTGAAATCACACACACACACACACACACACACACACACACGCACGCACACACACACGGGTGCGTCTCCCAAAAGCATAGATGCTAATTATGGAAGCAACCTACAGAGTTGCAACTGAATGGTTCCAACTATGTAAGTAGCGAATGGGAGCTTTTAGCCCATATTAGGTATCTATATCTTTGTGGGGACTCTCCATTCATAACTACGATAACTTTAACCATAAGTAACCAAACAATATGAAAGATTTTTGGCATTTTTAGTTTTTGATTGCAGTCAAAGATTTTCTTTCTGAAAAAATGTATATCACATTGTGGGGACATGTGGGCAGAGAGCACAGAGAGCACAGAGAGACACACACGCAGGCCGTACTTGCACGATGTCCATGAGGAGACCGGCCGCTACCACTCCCAGCCCCCCAAGCAGGTAGGGCAGCAGCACCTGGGCGGCGATGTGCCAGGCTCCCTCGGGCAGCTCGCCATGGGCAGAGCGCGTCAGCTTGCAGGTGAAGCCCCGCAGCTTACGGCCCCGATAGCGTAACTCCAGCTCCAGCTGCGTCACCACCATGGCTGCTCAGCCCATCCCCCTCCCAAGCTCGCCAGAGGTAGGGGGCCACGTCAGTTCAGTGATGCCACTGGGTATCTTCTCCACTCCAAGGTGTGGCTTTAAAATATCAACCTGTTTCTGGTTCCTTCCTGGAAGTTGGGTTAAAACACCCCAAACCTGTGCTCAAGGTGAGTAGGATGAATATTTTACATCCACAGCCTAGGGGAAGCTGTCCTGTGAGTGCTGGTCCTCCACGGTCTTTGCTGTTCTGTGCCCAACGTGTCACTTCACAGAACTCTTCTGCTGCACCACCTACCACCTTCCAGGGAATAAAAAAAAACAGCTATCTTCTCGCTGCGTGCGGGTTGCCACCGCTGGGACTTCCTGACATTGCCTGTGACGTCAGGCGTACTTTCCAGCTCTAGGCGACTGGGTGACGTGGTGTGGCATCCGGCCCAGGAAGTGGACGGCTGTCACTACGTGGGGGGGAGGGGGGCTCTGGTGGTTCACCACTGGATGGGATGGAGGAGAAAACTGCCACGCAGAAGTGAGGCTCGTGGTCCCCTGATGGTGCCTCACTGGCTGCCTGTTGAGGTTTCCCTGGTGAGTGCTGGATGAAGCAGGTACACACTGTGCCAGAGACAAATGCGGGCCGTGGGGGCAGTGTCCCCCCCCTGTTTTGTTGGTTTCTGCTGGTCGGCCGATTCTCCAACCCCTCTCCTCTGAGTGCTGCAGACACATGTAAGGACGCGTCATCCTGACCCTCTCTTCCAGCATCTGCTTTCCATCTCTCTCTCTTTCTAGGCCTTATCAGTCTGCTTTCTGTCAGAGGGCTGCAGACAGAGGGTGCTAGTGCTTGGCACAGATCCTTGAGGCTGCCCAGAGAGAGAGAGAGAGAGAGAGAGGGCAAGCCAGCAAGAGATAGCCAGTGAGAGCTGGATGCCTGGTGCCCAGAAGGCCCCGAGAGGGGGAGAGAGAGAGAGAGAGAGAGCTGGATGCCTGGTGAGTTTCAAAGTGGCCCTCGCTGGCCATTACTCACCAGGCCAGTAGCCAGCAAACAGGAAAGTCTGTGATTCAGCTGTGATTCATGGTGAGAGAGACCCAGGTCACCCCGGGGCTTTGGCTTACTGCCATGTGCTCCTCTTCTCCTTTGCCCGGAAAGCAGGCTAAAAGCCACGAGACTCACTCACACACCCTGGGTCACACACAAACACGGATGCATATGGATGTGTACACACTCACATACACAGGAAAGCACACAGCCTTGACACAAAGTACATAAAATGTCAAATGCCAAAGTAAAAACAGCAGGTTCTGATTTTCTTTTTAAATCACGTCAGTGACAACATATTGACAAGCTGCCTTTTAACAAATAATATAAAACAACAAATCCTACCAAGGCTCCCTTTCCTTCACACGCCTGAGTATTTTTAACCCGACATTAAAAATATAACAGCATAATAATAACAACATAGTTCAGAAATCATCAGCGTCATCATTACTTATTTCATCCTTAAACAGGACGGAGAAAAATCCAAGTGAATCTGAAAGCAGAAACAGGTCCCGATTCTATTCTTACTCACAGAATCCAGCATGAAACACGATCCTTTCAGAGAGATAAAGCATGCCCCCCCCCTGCATTCCTGGGGGACCTCCAAGCACATGACATTACCAGCTGTCAGCATGTACAGTATGATGTGTACCAAACCCTTATGGAGTGCTACAGTGCTGGGACAGCATTAATTATGAACAGCCTTAGAATTCTGCACAATGCATGTATTCCACATGTTTCATACATGCATTTTCCCATCATAATAAAACAACGAGCCAAAATAATAATTAAAAAAAAGAAAAACCAAACAATACAATAGTACTTAATGTGCCAGACAGTAAAGTACTGTCAGCAGGAATTAGTGTAACTACAAATGAGGCATCCACTGTAGCTTCCCCTTGTGGTTGTGATGGGGGTAAACAATGGGGTCCAACCAGCCAGCGCAAGGCCCGATCTGTAAAGGGTATATATACAAGGATGACAGTGGTCAGATCTGTAAAGGGTATATATA